AGCGCAGTGCTGACGCGGTGGGTCATTTCCCGTCTGCTTGGTTAGGTGTTTATTCTCTCCCTCTCTCTCCCTGCCTCTCTCCCTCCCTCTCTCGCTCCTTCCTGCTGCCCTGTACCTACACTCTCTGCTTCCACAGCGGGAAAGGAAGCCCTGCAAGTGGGCCACTCTTAGTGATATTTGGAGTGTTGAGTTCTGACTGCAGAATAGTTGGCGGGCTTGTGGCCTGTTACCTTACCCAGGGTGGAAACCATTGTTTTATGCCATCAGCAGCTAGTAAAGCAGCACTCAGACCGGGGCAGCTAGTGTGAGGATGAGGAGGGAATGAGGCTGGTGCCTGGCTGCTTTATGACCCCTGGAGGGCTCCCTGGCCTGCGGCAGGCTGAGCAAGCCTGGGCTGGGCTGTAACTGCTAGGGTAGCCTGGCTCTTGGGGGCCCTGCCTTGTAAGTGGGGGCCAGACTAGCCTTCAAAAGAAAATGGAAGTAATTTTTCTTTTTAAAATTTAGTTTACAAATGACCTTGTTTAATTAAAGCAGCAGAGCTCAGGGGAGGAGGAAGGAGGGTGCTGAGAGAAGGTCTAGCCAACAATTGGTAGCTGCATCTAGAACTGAAACTGATTAAGGACGCCACACCTGTTGGCCACTTCTGCTCAGCTGATTTCCCTGGGAACTTCCCTTCCTTTGGTGCGCCGCACACTTCCCTTTGTTCACACACAGCACTACAAGAGTTCCGGGGACCAGCCCCAGGGCTGGCAGAGAAGATCTGAGCTGCCCCTGACACGGGCTCCCCCTCAGCCGTGCGTTCCTGGGACTCAGGGCTGCCCTTCCCAGAGATGCCTTCAGGGCGCTCTGGGGAAATGAGTTTAGAATGGGAGGCCTTCGGTTCTTCCTGACCGCTGTTGCGGCTGCAAGCGGGGGAGCTAGAGTTCCAGGTAAATGCCGCCCTCCTCCAGAGACACACAGTAGGGGTTAACTTTGGGTCTTGTTTTTTCCAAACTAGGTAAGCCTGTGCTCCCTGTGCTTCACTGTGGCTCATCCTGTTAGCACTGAAGCTTGGGAGGTGTAGACGCTTCCCTGTCTCTGGAACCTAGGTCAAGAAAGGCTGCACCCGCATCTATTTTCTCTTTCTTTTTTTTTTGGTACCAGACTGGAACTCAGGACCTTGTACTTGCCAGGCAGGCACTGTGCCACTGAGCTGTCTCCCCGTCTGCACCTTCATCTTTATACATCTCCACTACCAGGCCACACTCCACAGTGTGGCTTTAACAGAGCTGGTGGGGGGCCGGTGAGATAGCTCAGCGGACTAAAGCACCTGCTTAGGCAAGCTTAGGCAAGCGCAGGGCCTGAGGTTCCGTCTGCAGCACCCCCTGTAATCCCAGCGCTGGGGAGACTGAAAGCAGGAGTTTCACCGCGAGTCTGAGCTGTGTAGCTAGACCTGTAACAACCAAATACATTTAAAAAAGAAGAGGGGGAGGAGGAGGAAGAGGAGGAGGGGAAGGGGGAAGGGGGACGAGGAGGAGAGAAGAGAAAAACAGCTGGTGGGACACAGAGGAGTGGCTGTCCAGCTGACAGGGTATCAGCAGCACTTGCTGGCCCCACCCTTTTCTTCTGCTGTGAACCTGGAGACACCTAACAGAAGTCCTGACAGACCCCTCCTCTTCCTACCTGGCTGGAGTGGCTGCAGAAATTGCTGAACCTACTATCAGAGCAGAATGAAAAATGGAGGAGAAGTGTAACCGCTGGAGCTGGTCCTGTGGGGACAGGGAGGAACTGTCACACTCCTTGGCAGAAGGTTGAGGCAAGGGCAGAACTGGCTGGGGTTGGGTCTGGCCTCTGATGAATGGCTTGGGAGGTTATTGCATGCCACCTAGTGGTGGTTTCATCACAGGTAAAATTGAAAGACTATTCCTGTCTCGTGTATTATAAAGTGGACCTAACAAGATTGTAATGTTATTGTCACTATAAAATGAAATGGTCTTTTGGGGTTGGACACTCGTCTTCATTTGTGTTCTCTTGGCCAGTGCCTGACCGACTCATGAAGTCCTCCGCCCTTGCTACCCCCTCCCAGCTCATCGCTTAGTATTAGGCTCCAGGCTGCGCCCTGGGGAGCCTCTGGGGTTCCCCCAAGGGCTTCCTGAACCGGTTCTCTGAGTCTTCCTTATACTTGTCTGGGCACAGCAGCGGTCAGCTGACCTTTTTGCGCTGCCGGCACTCAGATCTGCATCTAAGCAGCGCAGCCTATGGAAGCCACCTTGCCTCACCCCACCCTGCAGGCTCTTTTCTTCTCTATTTTTTGAAGAAGTTAAGAAACCAACTCAGAGAAGTGGAAAGAACTCTACTTGGGAGCAAGAGAGAATTAGGTTGAAACCCTGACCCTGCCATTTGACAGCCTTTCCTAACTTTTCTGGCCTACAAAATGGACCCTTGCCTACTCCATGGGACCGTCAGGGTTTAAAATGAGCTCAGGGTAAGAAGCCCTTGAGGTTTCAAGTGAGTTGGTGGACAGGCGGCGCACACCTGTAATCCGTGCCAGGGAGTTTGAGGCAGGAGGATCACCACACATTGAGGCCAGTCTGGGCTACATAGTGAGACCTTATGTATAAAGAGAAATAAGCTTGTGTGTTTAAAGTATCTGGGACAGCACTTGCCGCATAAGTTCAGAGTCAGTAAATGTGAATCTCTTCTTTTGTGACTCTTAATTTAGTGGGACCAGTGAGAAACTTATGTATACCATGGCAGTGTCCCCTGTCCCCTGTCACGTACCCCTTTTAGTGGTAAGGTAATGTTACCCCTTCTATCAAGATACCTGTGCTTTCAGGTTGTTTTCCTAGGAGTTGGGATGTTGCGCTGCCTCTGGAGGAGCTAGTGTAGGTTGTTGAGGCAGCAAAGCAGCCAGAATTTTAGACAGACCATGTAGCTGTGGGACAGAAACCAGCTCACTTCTGAGAAAATCCAGCCAGCGACTGAACGAGATGTCAGGAGGTGGCACCTCGGGCGGGCGGGCGGGCGGGCCACTTGCTTCACAGCGCGTTTACTCCCATTTGATTCTTAGAGCAGCTCTGGGGGTGGGCAGGTTCTCACTTTCGCCAGAGGACAGCCATACCCTGTCGCCCCAGTAGTGTGTGGTAGAACTCAGTGCTAGGGCACAAATCCTTGGACTCCCTTTGTGACGTTTTGAGCCCAGATGAGAGCCAGAATGCTGGCTGTTTATGAAATTTAGAGTTGCATGGAAGAATCTCCTTGCTGTCCTGTCGCTGTCACCTTGTACCAGTTTCTTGCAGGAGCTTCATTAATGAATTGAATGAAAAATTATTGGTAATCTAGGCACTGTGGATTCTGTCACAAGTGAAATAGACAAAACCTCTACCATGGGATGTTGTGAAGGTAGGGGCGTTACAAACAAGTAAGTGTGTAGATCGCACATAAAGGCTGCCGGGATGATGCTGAGAGCTCCGGAGAAAAGGCAGAGAAAAGCTGGGCAGGGCGGCTACACTGCAGGTTTCTCCTTGACTCTTGTTCTTGTTCGGCCCATGTGGTGAGTGCGCATGAGCCAGGGTGGCAGCTTTATTCCCTGCTGGCCCATCACGCCCAGCACAGGTGCCAGCCAGGCCCTGGAGGCTGCTTCCGCAGTTGCCCTGCAGAGGCAGGCGCAGGCGGCGGCGCTACCTCTGGGCGAGCCTGGGTGGTGCCCTGGACTGAGTGCTCCGGCGGCGGCTTTGCGGTGCTGACTCTGTATTTGCTAGGTCTGGAGCTCCCCCTGCTGTTAGTGTGTGGAAAGGAATCTCACCAGAATGGATGTTTGCCTGTGTCTGTGTCTGCCGGTCCGTCCATCTATTATCTCCTTTTTGTTTTGTTTTTGAGACAGGGTCTTGCTAACTAGTTCAGCCTGGACTTGAATTCACTGTACAGCTCACGCTGGCCTCAAAGTTGCAGTGTTCCGCCTGTCAGCCTCCTGAGTACTGGGATTATAGGTGTATGATAAGGCACTTGGCTCAGCAGAGCTTTAAATACTACTTCTCTTCCCACCCCAAGAATGATAAAAGAAGTTTTAAAATTCTGACCAAGTACTTCGGGGACATTTGAAGCTTTCTCCTGGTGCTGCTGCTGAAGCCCAGCCCCCCGGGGGTGCGGCCGGGGAAGCACAGGGGCCAGGCAGGACAGGCTCCTATCTGTGCGCTTGCTACTTTTAGCAGCTCCTTACCCTGCCCTCCTGCCGCGGTCAGTAGCATAGCTGGTTATCTCTGCACACAGTTTCTCAGCTGTTCAGAAATCCGAGGGTAGCGGAAATAAAACTGACCACAGTCTTGTCAGTTTCTCTTATTGCCACTGTTCCCTGCTTGCTGTGAGTCCTCCTTGCCCTCAGCCTCAGGTCCCAGGGTGTCCCCTGAAGGGCGGTGGTGCCTCCCTTCACTGCGCAGCCTTTGCGCAGGCTTGGGCTGGCCAGGCCCTCCGAGCAGTGTTTGCTGGAGGCCGGAGCTGTGGTCTGGGTGGCGGCGTCCCCAGAATAGAGCAGAGCCCTTCTTATCAGCTGCTAGTGGTGTGGCTTCTTTCACTAGCATCAGCCATATGATCGTGAAGTTCTTTTAGTCCTTACAGATGAAATTCAAGTTAATTTTAGCAGCAGTGTTAGTGCCAGCTGAAGTGAAGCAGGAAGAAGACACAAGCCTTTTCGGCCCATTGAAACCGTGGCCATTTAGTGGTTCCCGGCGAGGCGGGCCCAGCACGCAGTCCTGCCGCTTCCTGGGTCAGCCCAAGGAGCGCGAGGCTCGTGTGTCCTGTGAAGCCCAAGCTTAGGCAGTGCCTGTTCCCGTTAGGAATCAGAGTTTAATGGAGCAGCTAAACCATAAAGCCATGTGCTTCCTCGGGTGACTGTTACCTCCTTGTTCCAGCTGCTGTTAGTAGCTCTGCTGCAGTGAGCTTGAAGATGCCTTCTCCGCTGCAAATTGTAGTACTACACCGATGCTTCACTGAGAGTAATTCTTCCATGGTCCTTCTCTCAACAGCTTTGAAAAGTCCGGCTGCATTTCATGAGCAGAGGAGGAGCTTGGAGCGGGCCAGGGTAAGGTTCCTTTCTCCCCCAAGGACCTCCAGTATGTTTCCAGACTCATCCCATCGCTGGTTACATGGCCTACCCGTGGGCCCTCTGCTAGGGTCAGCTCTTCCTTCCTGCCTCACCCGTCCCCCGCTGCCCTCCGAGGTGTGAAGTTCTCCCGCAGTGCATTTCACTATGGGGGACTGTTGCGTGGCCCTCCTCCCTGACCCTGGCTTTGGAGACCACAGGCCTTTACCACCCTCCATTCCACTGCACTTTTTGAGATGGTGGGCACCAATGTCAGCCACAGAAAGGCTTTCTACATCCAGTGCAAGCGGCCCACAGCCCTGCAGGACACGTGTTCAAGGAAGCCCTTTGGCCTTCCTCGGCTCCATGGCAGCCGGCAGCCACTGACACCTATGGAAAGCAGAAGTGGGGCCTCCCTTCCAGCCCGGGTTTCCGGCTGCAGCGCCTCACTTGCATCCCTGTCCTATCAGCTTCATTTCCTTAGGGGTCCCTGGGGTTACCTTGTCCTGGTGTGGGCCGGAACAGGGAGGTCACCAGAACTGTCTGTCCCACTGCTTCTTTGGTTTTTTCATGTGTAGTTGACAGAAGACCTCAGCCCTTGGCACCCAAAAGCCCCAGACTTCTATTGGAGACTCAAATGCTTGTCCTGAGAGTTTTCTTTTATTTGTTCCTCCTAAAAAATTATGATTAATTCCTAGAAGAATGAGGTCATGGGTGCTGAGAAACAAAGTGGTAGGAAACCACACTATTTGCTTTTTCTGCGAGCAGCGTGGGGCCAGCTCCCCAACTGTGTGAGACTGTCGTATGCAGCAGGAGAGGCGGTGAACTTGCCGAGCTCCCACCTGTGGGGACCAGGTTGCTCTTAGCACAGCAGTTCTGTTCCCTGACGCGTGGTGAGCGTGTCTGGCACGCGCCTCACTAGCACGTCTGCTCACAGGTGGCTTCCACGCTACAGTAGCCACTTTCACATTGTGAGTACACACTAGAAATTATCTTACTGGAAACGGAAAACAAGCACACTAGATTGGTTACAGTAGGACTTGTTTTAATTAACTAGTCTAACAGTGTAAGCTCCGAAAGCTGCTACTTTTGCATTGAGATAAGGCGCATGGTCGCCTGTGCCCAAGAGCTCTGCGCACCATGGCTCCTGGCGGGCCGCGTCCCTGCAGGGCTCTCAGGTGCCCCTCCCCCGCCGAGGCCGCTTTCCTTTCCCCAGTTGCTCAGTAGCTTGTGCTTTCCAGTGTCTGCAGGGCGCTCAGTATCCGCTCCGCAGCCTTTCTCCTTAGGTTCCGTGCTGAGAGCTGAGAGCAGACCGGTTCTCTGGTTTCCACTGGGAACCTCGCACCTCATAACCCAGTCCTGAGATGCTGCCTGGAGAGCTCCACACCCCTCCTGGGAGCACAGAGCTCCCAGCCAGGGCACCAAGCAGCAGGCGGCCAGGGTGGGGGACAGTTTTGACCTCTACTGTGTGACTGCTCTGCTGTTGTATTTTACATAATTATCGTGTCCTGTCCCATCTTACGATACTCTCGATTTTTCTTACTGAGCCAACTCCCCAGCCCCTGCTCTTGATGTTGATGGCTTTGTCCTGTGGTTTGAAAACTGCTGGTGCAGAGGTTAGGGGCACCTACTCCCAGCTCATCTGGGGTCACACCCACAGCATCATTAGCCACTGGCGGGGCGCGGGGGGGGGGGGGGGGCGGCTCTGTGACTGTGGAAGGCATGGTTAGCTCTCCAGGCCAGTCAGTGCAGAAACAAGGACACTGGACTCGGTGGGAGCCGAGCTGCGTCGCCAGGAGTCACAGGCAGAACTGCGTTTGGCAGTCGTTCAGAGTGAACTGGAAATGCTCGCGAGACCACACAAGGCTCAGGCTTTAAAAACAGGACATAAAGTTATATGTAGTGTGATTATTTTATACAGAATTAAATTTATCTTCATGGAAGAATGACTAGAAACAAATATCCCAAAATAGAAATCATAGATTTTTAAAGTTTTTATTGTTGTTTCTCTTACTTACTCTTCTCTCATTGCTGGGACAAATACCCAACACCCAAAAGGAAGGATGGAAAGGTTTATTTAGCTCACAGTTACTGGAGGGTTCAGTCACACTCAGCTGGCCCCAAGGCAGAGCGGCACGTGGCAGAGGGCGACCTTTCATGGTGGCAGCAAAGAGCAAGAGAACAAAATGGGGGAGCAGCAGCAGTAATGGCTGCAGAGCGCAAGTCTGTCTCGAGTTACACTCAGGCTATCCGCTCCAGGCTGGGGGAAGTACTCACACCCGTAATCCCAGCAGTACTAAATCCATAATCTCAGTGGATTGTTAGTTAATCTCAAACGGTAGACGTCCCTGCCCCATGACTGCATGAGGCTTTGGGGGGACAACTAGACACAAACCATAACATTGTTATGCTCTCTAGTTTTTTCAGTGAACATATAGAAGTTTGTGATAATATAAATAATAGTGTGTATATGGGGTGTTTATTCCTTTGGTGGTTTTGATGTCCTGAGACAGGATCTTGATATGTGATCCAGGCTGGGCTTGAACTCCTGGCGCTCCTGCCTCAGCCTGAATTTACAGGCATGCATCCCACACTCAGCTCAGTGAGTGCTGTGGGATGTGCACACAGCAGTGCAGCCTCAGGACAAGTGGCCTCAAAGGAAGGGGCTCTCGTCAGGTGCGCTGGAAGCCGGTGTGACTTCCCAGCCCCCACCTCAGAACCTCGCCGTCAGTCGTAAAGTAAAGGTCATGGCAGCCCGGAGGCGACCAGCAGTAGCCCCTGTGGCCAAGACTTGGCTGTGGTCCAGTCCGTGCCATCCACTCATGCCCTGGACTTGAGTTTTCTCTCTGTGTTTTTCTGTAGACAGAGGACTACCTGAAACGGAAGATCCGTTCCCGGCCGGAGAGATCGGAGCTGGTCAGGATGCACATTCTGGAAGGTGTGTGAGGCTGCGAGTGCTTCTCCCTCTCGCCCTGCTCTCGTGGCGCTCAGTCTGTACTGGCGCTTTTGGCCGCCTGCCTTCTGTTCCTTCCCAGTGCCTCACAAGTTCTCCGGCTTGGGCTCTTCTCCCAGGCCCTGGCCACCTCCCCTCAGTGTGACTTACCTGTTCCAGCCACATACATCTTCCCACACTTGGGGCAAAAGAGCAGCTCCTAGGAACAGCAGAGTCTGTCTAGTTTTGCTTTGTGTAGTCCAAGGCCGTCTTCAGGGCTGGAGGAGACCTTTTCCCAGCTGAAGCTCATGTTTCTCGTATGGAGACACTGAGGTCCACAGCAAGGGGACAGGGGTGCCAGTGGCCCAGATCTGAGGAGAACAGAGGCCGTTCCCTTGTCGGGTGCTCCTTTGGCTCTGTAGCTGCCCTCAGAGAGCTCTAGGCCAGTGTGGCCTGACGACAGTTGTAGCCATGCCACCCTTTTTGGCCTGAGACACGCTTTCGGCTCTCATGGTCTCTGCTCCTGCTGCTGTGCGGCTCCCAGAGCAGACCCAGGGCTGCCTCCATCATCCTGCACCCCTCCTCTCCCATGGACAGAGACCTCGGCTGAGCCTTCCCTCCAGGCCAAGCAGCTGAAACTCAAGCGAGCCAGACTAGCTGATGACCTCAACGAGAAGATTGCTCAGAGGCCTGGCCCCATGGAGCTGGTGGAGAAAAACATCCTGCCTGTGGAGTCCAGCCTGAAGGAAGCCATCATTGGTGAGGGTCCTTGCCACCGTGTGTGGCCTATGGCAGGAGGGAGTGTGGAGCTGATCCGCGGTGGAGACCGGGCCCTCTGTCTCCATGGAGCTGCTACCTGCGGCTCCGCAGCAGTGAGTGTGAGGGTGTCAGGAGGTGGTGGCCAGGCCTGGGGCCGTTGCTTGGGGAGGGACTGCCAATAGGTGGAGGGCAGGCGGGGAGAGGACAGCATTGCAGATTCTTCAGAGTCCTGAGTTGCAGGCCCATTTGTGGTCAGGCAGGTTGTGAGTTCTGCAGCCAACTTCCAAGTAACGCTTGTCTGGAGTGAGCATGTGGCAGCCCCATGTGCAGTCCTAAGACCATAGAGATGGCTGTAGAGGACTTGTGGCCTTGAGAAGGCAGGCTGACATGAGACTTGACACACAAACAAGTGCTTTCTGGTGCCCATACAGCACACTAGGAAGGCCACGTGGTCCTGTGACATAGCTGGTGCCCCTGCCTGGTAGGACTATTGACAGCATCCTCAGGATGGTGGGTATGAAGGGCCTCAAAGGCTCCTTGGTGGTTGCCGGGGTGAGCAGTGGGGCTGGCTCCACGCCAGGTAGCGGCTGCTGGGATGGCGGCATGGTGGTGGATGTGTTGCACAGTGCAGCAGACTGCAGGGAAGGGCGGCTTGAGATGGGATGTGGAGGGGCTGGGCTGTATGTGCACCTGAGGCGGCACATCTGGGTGACCTGGGGTTATGCAAGTGCAGAGCGACAGCATGGCAATGGCCTGGAGGACTGGCAGACACGGCTGGTTCAGGAGGTTGGCACCGAGGGTCCTTGGTGACACAAGAGGAAGGTGCCTTTGTGTTTGCAGAGCCAGGTGGTGGAGTGAGGAGTGGTAGGACATGACTTTCTCAGGTGTAGGGCAAGGAGAGGGACAACATTTTTAGGCAGGGAGCAAATTGGTAGTCCAGGGCAGGGGACTGGGTCCTTATGGAGATTTGGCTCAGGTAGGACCAGAGGCAGGGCTAGGGCAGGGGCATGGCCTGCTGGAGGTGGCCCACGGTCACCTCTGCTCACACACCTTCCCTTCGGGCCCCCCTCAGCCCTGCCTAGGCTGTCACTCTCCTTTAGGGAGCCTCTCAGGGTGCCCTCAGCTGTAGAAGTCAGCTTGGCCCTGAGACCATGGGACTGAGGACTCTAGCGTGCCGGTGACTCCAGCGCAAAGCACAAGCGGGATCAGATCTGTGGGCTCTGGGCTGGGAGTTGCAGCTTGTCTGGCCTGGATCACAGTCATCCTGCATCAGCCCTCTGTTGCTACTGTCCCGTGGCAGGTCCCCAGGCTGGGAGTAAGACATTGCAGAGGGATTCTTAGTTTATTCTGTCATTGCTAGGACACACTATCCAACACACTTGACCTGAGGAGGAGAGGCTTATCTGGGCTCCAGTGCAGGCTGCTGGCTCTGAGGCCAAGAGGTCCCAGCAGAAGCAGAGAAGGCAGGGCCAGCTCCACCCCAAGGGCCCACCCCTTCCCACCGGACAGTGAGGCCTCAGCCCCTGTATGAAGCTTGATGGTGTGGGGTGGAGTCCTGTGTGGTTGGTGTGTGGCACAGCTGGCCAGCGAGCCCAGTCCTCTTCTGGTGCCTCATGCTTGCTCCTGCCAGGGCAGATGAGGGGACAAAGGAGTGAGCCCAGCCACAGGTGTTCCTGGCTACTACCATAGTTGGCCAGAGGGGAGCAGCTCAGACTTGACCACCCTAGTTTCCAGGGTACAGGGTACCCCAGGTCATGGCCTGCAAAGGAAGAGGCTCTGGGACCCCGAAGGCAAACCCGCCCAGCCCCTCTGCTTTGTTCCTCTTCCTCGCGGTCTTGCACTCTGCCTCGGTTCTTCCTGTGTGGGCCACTGGCCAGCGCAGCCGCTGCCACCTCTCGCCACAGTATGGTGGAGGTGGCAGTTGTGACATGATTTGAAATATCACCCTCTGGCCCTTGTTCCTGTCTTGCCTTCCCTCTGGCCCAGGAGTCCCACGCTGGGCCCTTGGAGCAGAAGTTCTGCAAGGACCCTGCCCCCTTTGTCTGCCACCTGGCCAGCTGCAAGGGATGCACGCTTCTGCCAGGCCCCAGTGCAGCCCAGGCAGCAGCAGTTTCCCTTCGGTGCATCTCCTGTGGAGAATGCCAGCCAGCACTGAGCACCTTACCCGTGCAGGGAGGCACCCGGCTCCACAGTCGGCCCTGGCCTTTGGGGTTGAGCTGGCCCTAGGAGGCTGTGAGCCCAGCCAGAGGTCCCTTGCCACTGGGGACTTGGCCCCCATTGTGTGGACTGTAAGCATCTGAGGGCAAAGGGGAAATTTGTATAGCTACAGCCTTGAAGGAGCGGCTGGGAGAGGCAGCAGCCTGTGGCTCCCACAAACAGGCGGAGAGAGGAAGGAGTTTTGACTGTGAAGACCAGGTGCCTCTAGAGCCAGGGTTTGCTCAGACCCCCTGATGGCACAGAGCCTTCAGGGAGGCAGAGAGGGCAGCATGGCGGCTTCCTTCAGCTGAGAGCCTGCGGGGCTGGGGTCACCGCACCTCCTGCCACGTTCGTGTCTCACGCTGGCTTTGGGTTGTAGTGGGCCATGTGAACTACCCGAAAGTGGCCGACAGCTCTTCCTTCGATGAGGACAGCAGCGATGCCTTATCCCCCGAGCAGCCTGCCAGTCATGAGTCCCAGGGCTCAGTGCCATCACCCCTGGAGGCCCGCATCAGTGAATCACTGCCGAGTGCCACCTCCGTGTCCCCCACTCAGGTCAGCTTGCCTGCTCCCAGAGGCTCCCCTGCTTGCTAGGGTCAGGTGGGTGGCTTCACTGTGGCCCAGGGAGACTGGGTGGGTCATCACCTTGGTGGCTCAGGTGCTGGCTGCTTGTTTCCCAGTGGTGAGCAGGAGGGGACTGTGGGCGCTGACTCTGGCAGTCCACAGCCTAGACCCCAGAGAGCAGTGCTGCGCCCGGCTGTACTGCCCGCCCACTCCTCTTGGAGCAGCTGCCAGCACGAGGGTATCAGGCTCAGTGCTGTGGCTGCCACCTGTCTTGCTGTCCCCGTTCTCTGCCTGCCAGTCAGGTCTCACCTGCCCTCCACCCAGTTAGTCTCTACTCATCACTTGGCTGTGACTGTCCAGTGAGGTGGATGCCCCCCACCAGGGGCAGTGCAGGCTGGGCACACTGGGGGTGGGATTGCCAGTGTCCTCACGTTCCCTCTGTCCTCCCAGGTTCTTTCTCAGCTCCAGCTGGGCCCAGATGCTGGAGAAACACTCTTCATGGCCGAGCAGCCGCCTCTGCCTGCCCCGCCTCTGCTGCCCTCCAGCCTCACCAATGGAGCCAACGTCCCCCCTGCCAAACCCACCCCTACACTCATTAAGGTGCGTGGGCAGCAGTGGGGCTGTGCTCCCCTGCCCCTGGGGGCCTGTAAGACTTCCACACACGTTCTTCGTGAGGTGTCAGGCTAGAGTCCTAAGACCGGGGATTTGTTCCCGTTCTCCTACCGTCCATCGTGCAGTTTGCATCACGGTTGTAGCCGCTGCTGATTAGCACTGCTTTAGCTCATTTGTTACTGGCACAGTCTCCTCCCCTAGCACAAGGGGCCTCAAGCCACCTCTTCCCCACGGGCCATGTCAGCTGGCCACCTCGCACCTGAGGTCTCTTCCTCAGTCCTTTATCACACTGTGTGGCTGTCCTTCTGTGCCACTCACTGGAGTAATCATGTCATGTAGGCCTTAGCCCGCCAGCCAGCTTCCTAGCCCACCCATCCTCACTGCTCTCTCCCTCCTTCACCTGCTACTTAGGCCGCCTGCTGAATCCTGCTTCTTCTTCCTCGTGGCCCGGGAGCCCCAGCCCATCACTGTCACTTATTCATGTTGTAGGGGACACTTCTGCCCCCACCTTCCTTTTGTTCCCCACTGCCACCTGGTCAAGACTCCAGCTGAGCTCGACATTGTTTTCTTCCCCTCCTTTGCTGTCCTACGCTCAGAAGTGTCCGAGTCCATGGTCCTCCTGTCCTCTCTGTATGACCTCCGTCCTGTGACCACTGGACCTTCTTGGTTGGCCTGGGCCCTCTGACCCTACATCCTTGCTTGTGCCATCTGGGAGCCACTGGGGCACATACGGGGCACAAACAGTTTTGGAGCCACATGCTAGGCCCAGATTGCCCCTGTGCGACTCTGAGTCCATTTGTTCCTTTTCAAGTTGACTCAACAGCTCTGCCTAGGCAGGGTCTAGGGAGGTCTGTACGGCACCATCTCTGTGACCTGCCCCATCTGGCCCAGCCCATGTGCCACAGGGCCAGCTGTAGTTTAGCCTGCTGTTGGGGTCACACTGTACTTGGGGTCCTGGTAGCATCTGGGCCTGAACCTCTGTTTGATTGATTTCTCTCAAGACCATGCCCAGCCCCATGATTACCTGGGACCCCTCTGGGTACCAAGGAGCCCCTGCTCCTATAGGGCACATCCAAGGAGTGGGGGTGTGGGCTGGCAGGCACTTGTGCAGGGCATGTGGGGTGCTCACTCCACCCTTGTGCCCTCAGCAAAGCCAACCCAAGTCTGCCAGTGAGAAGGTGCAGCGCAGCAAGAAGGCCAAGGAGCTGAAGCCCAAGGTGAAGAAGCTCAAGTACCACCAGTACATCCCCCCGGACCAGAAGCAGGACAAGGGGGCGCCCACCATGGACTCTTCCTATGCCAAGATCCTGCAGCAGCAACAGCTCTTCCTGCAGCTACAAATCCTCAACCAGCAGCAGCAGCAGCACTACAACTACCAGACAATCCTGCCCGCACCGCCCAAGTAGGAGCTGGGGGCAGTGGGCACAGCGAGCACCCTTGGCAGGGCCCCGGTGCCCCCGGGCACCACTCCAGCAGGCTCACAGCCGCCTTTCTGTCCTCTCAGGCCAGCAGGGGAGGCTCTGGGAAGCAGCGGGACCCCCCCAGTGCGCAGCTTGTCTACCACCAACGGCTGCACCAGCGTAAGCACCTCGGGGCCCTCGGGGCTGGCCCGCCAGAACAGTGCCCCTCTCTCTGGAAAGCCAGGAGCCCTGCCAGCCAACCTGGATGACATGAAGGTAGGTGGCATTCCCTGGTGCTAGAAGATTGAGCCTTGCTGCCTGCCCCTCTCACAGCAGCCAGCTGCTATTAGGCTAAGAAGGCAGGCAGCCCAAACTGTGTAGGGCAGGCCCAGAGGGTCTCCACGCTCTGGTCTGCAGTGCTAGGGTCCTGGGGCCCCTGTGCCAAGGCTGGCCTGCCTGTGGTCGCTGTCAACATTGCGACTGCCTGGCCAGGACTGTCCTGTCCTTGGGATATGCTAGGAGTTGTATCCTGGGGCCTCAGACTGGACCCAGCCCAGTGCGTGGCCCGTTTTCTCGGCCCCAATTGGAAGTGTGACAGCCTCGGCCTTGACAGTCCAGCCAGTGAAGCACAAGGCACAGTGCTAGGGGCTGAGTTTCTGTTGAGGTGAGGATGGTAAGAGGGAGGATGCAGGTGGTGCTGGAGGCAGGCTCACCTGGCTGGGGTCAATGGAGGACTCCGAGAGGTGCGGCCAATGAGGCGCTGGGCGCTGCACCCTTGTCAGTCTGGCTGTGCTCTGGACCCCTGCAGGTGGCGGAGCTGAAGCAGGAGCTGAAGTTGCGGTCCCTGCCCGTCTCCGGCACCAAGACCGAGCTGATCGAGCGCCTGCGTGCCTACCAGGACCAAGTGGGCCCTGTTTCCGGGGCACCCAAGGCTCCTGCTGCCTCCTCCCTGCTGTCCAAGGCCAGTGAGGTGGTGGTAGCCTTCCCAGCGGCCCGGCTGAGCACGGGGCCAGCCCTGGTGACCACTGGCCTGGCCCCGGCCGAGGTGGTGGTGGCCACGGTGACCAGCAACGGTGTGGTGAAGTTTGGCAGCACAGGCTCCACGCCCCCCGTGTCTCCTACACCCTCGGAGCGCTCGCTGCTCAGCACGGGTGACGAGAACTCCACGCCGGGTGACGCCTTCGGGGAGACAGTGACATCACCCTTGACGCAGCTCACGCTACAGCCGTCACCACTGCAAGTGCTGGTGAAAGAGGAAGCCACGGCACGGGAGCCCGAGGGCCTGGACAAGGACCAGATGCTGCAGGAGAAGGACCGGCAGATCGAGGCGCTGACGCGCATGCTCCGGCAAAAGCAGAGGCTGGTGGAGCTGCTCCGGCTGCAGCTGGAGCGAGAGAAGCGCGCGCAGCAGCCCGGCGCCCCAGTGAAGCAGGAAGGCGGCCCCTCCAGCTGCCCGCTCAGCCGCCACCCCCCTGCCACCACGCGTCCTTTCAGTCCCGGCCTGGCCGCCCCCACCGCCGGCCATGGAGACGTAGTGGTGGTGAAGCAGGAGGCCTCGCCGCCTGAGCCTGCACCTGGACCACAGCTGCTCCTGGGCGCACAGACTGGGGGCCTCCTCCCGGGGGTCACCCCACCCTCCCTTGTCACCGACGCCACAGGGACCCACCTCGTCCTCACCATGACCAACAAGAAGGCAGACAGCCCTGGCCTGCCCGGCGGGAGCCCCCTGCAGGTAGCTGGAGCACAGGAGGGCATTGGGGTTGGTTTCATAAACCTGGCGCAGGGTACTGGGGCAGGAGAGTGAAGGGACAGGGCTGCTACAGCCCCCAGGAGCCACCACCCCCAGGGCCACTGAGCCCGAGCATTTCTGCACTGGGCAGAGGCTGGACCTTCACCACTGCTCCATAGGTCCGCCACGGGAGGGCTAGAGGTCCCCTGCTGTGAAGCTCAAGAGGCTCCCCTCAGAGGCCAGCTGTCTCTGCTGTCACCACCTTCACTGCTCAAGCCAAAGGGGAGGCTCCTGGGCAGAGACGTACAGGAGCTGGCTTCCTCCCTCGGAAGAGGGGGCTGCTGAGCAGCCTTGGGTAGAAGAGGCCAGGGCTTTCGGGGCAGCATCTGTGCAAGGCTGCCCGCCCGAGCCTGCAGTGCCTGTCCCTTCCACAAGCCACGTTCTGAACACTGCAGCCTCTTACCTCCTGCTGCGCTGCATCCTCAAGCCCGGCCCCTTGTCTCCCACCCAGCCTCTGTCCCGGCCAGGCTCACCCGCCCCTGCGGTCCTGGAGCCTCCACTGCAGACCACCTTTGGGGCGCCTGCTTCTCTGCTGAAGAAGGAGCCTCCAGGCTACAAGGAGGCTGTGACCCAGCAGCCCAAGCAACAGGTGACAGAGAAGTGTGCGGCAGGGTGGGACAGGCCACCCACTGCGGGCCTGGGTTTATAGAGTCTCATTGTTTTAAACTTGTCTCCCAGGAAAGTGGCTGTTCAAGCCAGCAGATGGATGACCTGTTCGACATTCTGATTCAGAGTGGAGGTAAAGCCCGGCTCCCTGGCATCTCCTGCCTGCTTCTGTCCTTCTGTACTCAGGTGTCTGCAGTCTGGTTGAGTGGTGGCCCTCAGTGGCTCTGTCATAGGTGCTGCGCAGCAGTGATGGGGTCCTGGGAGGGTGGCCTCGTGGGAGTGCAGGTCTGAGTGGGCAGAGGCACAAACAGGATCAAGTCAGGAAGCCGCCACCACAGCCAGGGCCCAAGGGCCTGGAGCAGACATTTGCTGTGACACAGTGGCCACCTGTAGGCAGAAGCAAGGCACTGGTGGAGGCCAGGGGTGAGCTTGGCCTCCTGCTGGGGGTGGTGAGGGAAGAACAGCCACAGACAGATCCAGGGCTCTGGCCTGAGGCTCCAGATGAAGGTGATGGTGGAGGCGACTGTGGGCTGACGTAGGTGTTTGGGAGTTGGCAGCGAGCTTCTCTATGAGGCTCGGGGGAGCAGGGGACCCGTGACAGCCTGAGCTTTGTGGAAGATAGGGCAGGCTGCAGAGGCCAAGTATTGGGCAGCACAGAGGCCGCCAGAGCCTGTTCTTGCAGTAGGGAGCCCCGCCCGAGACCCACTGCCACCTCCTGCTTGCTAATTAGCCCTGCCTGCACAGTGGCTGAGGGAGGCCACGCGGCATGGGTGTGATGGGGGTCTGTGCAGCCTGCCGCGAGGAGGTGCTGAGCGCAGGACAGAAAGGCAGAGCTCTGAGCCCGGAACTGTGTCTCGGCAAGGGCTATTTAAAATGCTGGAGCTACAGCTGCTGTCCCTGGAGGTCAGAGCTTAAGCCCTAGGAAGCTTTTCTGGCTACTGGTGGAGCCTCGTGTTTTGGGCATGGGGGACCCAAGGCTAGGCTGCTCATGGATGGTGCACACTCAGGTGAGGCCTGTACGAGCCTCAGGAGAGGTGGCTGTCCTTGAACTGCCCCTTCTAAGGGATAGCAGATGAGTGCTGCCTGTCCCCAAAGGGACACTAAGGAATGCCCAAGAACATCCAAGGACAGTGAGAGAGGGTGACTGGAGGGACAGAACAGGTGGGCTGGGTTCCTCCTGGAGTAGCCACAGGGGCAGTGATGGGCATAGGCCTGGTGCTGTCTGGCTCAGTATGTGTCACTCCACCTTCAGATGCATTTAGTGGCATTAGGGACACTCATGTTGTGCAACTACTCATTGCAAACTGAAGCCATCTATTAAAAACGCACCACGGTGCTCCTTCCCCAGCCCTGTACCCGCTTCCTGTCTGATCTAAGCTCGGAATGTGAGCACACAGCATGTCTTCTGATGCCCAGCTGATTTCACGGAGTATGATGGCTCCGAATTCATCTATCTGTCCCACTTGGGCACTTGGGTTGCTCTGCATTGTGTTGAACAGTGCTGCTGTCACAAGTGCCCACCTCGTGAAGACCTTTCATTTCTTTCGGGAACTTACCCAGAAATGAGATTGCTGGATCTTACATTAGGGTTTTGAGGAGTCAACTGTTGTGTTCCAAAGTGGCCATGCCATTTTATAGTTACTGACAGCATGTGGAGGGTACTGGGTCCCTGGAGGTGTACCTGGGACTGATTCCTGATGGAACCTCATGCATGGTCCATCTCCGACTGCTCAGTGCCAGCACCCCCAGCCCTGGCCTGTACTTTTTGAAACCAGATCTTGCTGTATCACCCAGGCTGGTAGCTAGGGGCGGGTATGAGGTGGCATCATCTTGGTTTTCATCTTCTTTCCTGTGTTGACCAGAGATGTTCATCTTTTCATGTGCTGTTGGCCATCTGCATCTCTTGGAGAAAGTCAAATTCCATGCCCACACTTGAATCAGGTTTTTTTGTTACTGAGTTCATTTTTGAGTACATTCCTCACTAAACACATGACTCCATCAGAAACCTTTCCACTCTTGACACGCTATTTTTGGTGTTACGGCTAAAAAATTAATAGAAAGCTAGCATGAAGATTTTCTTCTAAGTGTCCCAGTTTTTGTACCTGTGTCTCAGTCTGACCCAGTGTATGTGTCCCTATGGGGTAAGGGAAGGGTCCGCCATCATTCTTTTCATGTGTTCTGGCCTGGTTTCTGACAACATTCACTGTCACTTGGCAGAAATTTCAGCAGATTTCAAGGAGCCACCATCTCTACCCGGGAAGGAGAAGATGCCCTCTGCAGCAGCCTGTGGGTCCCCTCTGGCAGCACAGCCATCGCCTGCCACTGAGCTCCCTCAGGCCGCACCACCTCCACCCGGCTCGCCCACGCTCCCGGGGCGCCTGGAGGACTTCCTAGAGAGCAGCACGGGGCTGCCCCTACTGACTGGTGGCCACGAGGGCCCGGAGCCCCTGTCCCTCATTGATGATCTCCACAGCCAGATGCTAAGCAGCTCTGCCATCCTGGACCACCCCCCGTCACCCATGGACACCTCAGAATTGCACTTTGCCCCTGAGCCCAGCAGCAGTATGGGCCTGGACCTGGCTGATGGCCACCTGGACAGCATGGATTGGCTGGAGCTCTCGTCAGGGGGTCCTGTGCTCAGCCTGGCACCCCTCAGCACCGCCGCACCCAGCCTCTTCTCCACGGACTTCCTGGACGGCCATGACCTGCAGCTCCACTGGGACTCCTGCTTGTAGCTCGCCAGAGACTGGGCTGGGCGGGGGCCAGCATGGCTCTGGGAGGCCACGGGCCTCGACAATCACAGTCTCCGCTTGGCTGGGGCTGCTGCAACCAGGGTGGAGGCGAAGCTGCCATGCCGCAGCTTGGGTCTCTGCCAGGGCTTTGGAGGCCTGGCTGGGGCTATTTCAATTTGACCTCCTTTTGTGAGGTCAGAGGTGCACTGTGGGGTGGTGGCGGCACCCAGGCTTTCTGTCATTTATTGTTTTGGTATAGCGTGACCCATTAGAGGTTGGTGGCAACACTTTCCTGTACAGGTGTATATACTTCTATATATCAACGTACAATACTCATATATTTTGGGGGCACAGTTCCCCCAGCCTGCTTTCACATACAGAAGGGCTGGATGCAGGGTCACCTTGAGCTGTGCCACGGGGCCTGGCCCCACCCCCACCCCCCACGTGTGTTCAACATGCACCCTGTCACACCGCCTGTGCTCACGCCCTGCTGCCCGGCTCCCTTGTGCCACAAGGGCAGAGGGCTTTCCTGGCCCTCCAGCTGGGGGTTCCTCAGCTGCCCCATCCATCCCTGCCTCACTGTAGCCAACTTGGCCCTGGAGCACGTGAGGCCCGTCCTGGACTGCTCATGGGGCAGAAGGGATGGAGTCACCAGACCAGTGCCGCGACAAAGGTGGGAACTGTGTGAACTTTTTAAAATAAAAACAGAAACACTGACTTGTCAGGCCATCTTATTCCATCTACAGGAGGGAGGACTGTGCCAAGGTGGCAGTCCTGGGGCACCCCTGCAGCTGAAGCCCACATGGTGACCCTAAACCTGCCTTCCCATGGGGCTGATTCAGAACACAGGAACCAGGATGGTCCAGAACAGAGGACCTGCTGGCAGCTGAACAGAGGTCAAGGCATTTTCTCAAAGTGTTTATTTACACCCCCTTGACACCCCTTCCTGAGCAAAGATCAACCAGGGCAGCCTCCCACCCTTCTCCAGGTTTTTGGTTCATACAAATTGCAGTGGGCTGCTGGCACTTACTTTGGGACCCAGGGGGGACCGAGTCCTCACCCCGACCCCACCCCAGGGAAAGGATGCTAGCCTGGACACCCACCTTCAGCCCCAGCCAACAGGAAAAGCCCTAAACCAGTGCCATCCCCTGTGCCACACAGCTTTTGAGACAGGTGCCACCTGGGAAGCCAGTGGGCTCTGAGGTATGGGCACAGTGGAGTGGCTGCAGGACCATCACCCGTCGATGTCCCAGCTGAAAAGGTGGTGTTTCACCAGCATGTCCTGAACACCCTCCTTCAGGGGCTGCTTCTCTTCCTGCACGAAGGACAGCTCTCAGGGGAGGCTGGTAGTGCCACCCCTTGGGGCTACGCTACCCTCCTGGGAAAAGCATGCACCCACCTCTCTCTTGGCAGGGAGCTCCCAGTCCTGGGAGAGGCTGAAGGCAAAGCAGCAGAGGACGCTGTGGGGGGGAAGGCTGGTCATGGGCTGCACACCTGTGCCACCGCCCAGCCCTGAGCCATGCCAGGTCCTCACCGGAGCTCACACTTGATCTGGACCCAGCCGGGGCTGCGCAGGAAGGACCAGGGCTGGTACCACTTCTCCACAGTGGCCAGGCTGGAGCACAGGACCTCCAGCCACAGGTGCAGCACCTGTTCACTGGGAACAAGGCTGGGTGGGAGGGCTGTGTGGGGTCTCACCCGCTCAGCCTGCACGCTTGCATCAGCTCCCAGGTTCCCCCAGTGGAGGCCGGGGCACCTGCCCTATACCTACTTAAGCCCCACACAGATCAGCGACCGCAGCTTGACATCCATCTGTGCATGGACTGCATCGTGAGTCACGTTCACGGACTGCACAGCCTGGGAGGGCACAGCTGTCACTGGGGTGCCCTGCTGGCCAGCAGTCTTGAGGGGCTGCCAGAATGACCCTGCTTACCCGGTACAGCAGCTCCTCTGGGGTCAGGACTTTGCCATCCTCATCCAGCCTGAGGGGAACAAAGCTGTGTCATGCACGCGGGCACTGCTCCCATATGGGCGCCGGTGCAGCGGTGTCATTACCTGTAGGTCTTACAGAGCACGAGGCGGGAATACACCGAGTCGAAGTCTCTCTCAACCTCCCGACCTGCAGCCTGCGGGCGGACAGGAGACCATGTGAGTGTGGAACGGGGAGCGCACACGCCGCCCTGTGAGCGCCACCTGGCTGGGCCAGTGTCTAGCCGCTCACCTCCTCAATAAACAGCCAGGGGTGGCAGGCGCCTCCAAGCAGGGATGGCTTCTTTAGTCCATGTTCAAACAGGGCCTTTAGGGCTGGGCAGAGGGTCCCTCGCACAAGGTCTGTGACCCCCTCCGTCACAGAGTCATCCCCCGCGATGGAGTACTGGTGGAGGAAGGGGCCGGAGGAGCACCAGTCCCATGCCCATGGCCCAGTGGGGGGATGTCCCTGCCCTGCCCACCTCTCACCTCTTTGCTCCGTTCATCCAGGACTTCTACAAACTTGGCTGGAAACCAGCCTGTGTGAAGAGCAGGCCATGAGGGGCAGCTACTGGCCCTCCCAACCCTTGTCTCCAAGGGTGACGCAGAACCTGGGGCTGTGCGTCTGTCTGCAAGCCCAGAGCTCCTCCCCAGGCCAGGGTGGGGGAAGGGCAGGGCTCACCCCGCAGGCCGTTCAGCTCGCCCACCCAGCAGTGCTCATCCTTCTGAGACACGATCTGTGCAGGAGAGGAGGACGGGCTCAGGCGCCTGCGCACATCAGGTCCTCAGCACCCAGCGGGCCAAGACCCCATTTCTCAGAAGCAGAGCTCAGCAACAAGCATGCCTGTGTGTGTGCGAAGCCCTCCGCATACCGTGATGATGTCATTCTTGCGGAAGCCTAGCTCGTCGTCATCATGTCTCTCAAAGTCCAGGAGGGCTTTGGCCCGGCGCCGGTGGCTGCGTGAACAGGCCACATAGTTCTCATGGTCCCGCTGGTGGCTCTCCATGCTGTAATCAGGAGTCAGCTCCTGCCAAAGAGAACAACAGTGATGTGAACAGGCCAAGTGTGGTGGCCGTAGGAGGATCACAGGCAGGAGGTCCACAAGTTTGAACCCCAGATGGGCAACTTGGCAAGACCTGGTCTCAAAATAAATAATACATGGACAGCAAGGACTGCTGGAAGGGAAGAAGCTTAGGCCCCAGGGATGGGCTGGGGAGCTCCCCACTCACTATGCTACAGTTTTTGGGGTCCGTGCACTGGAAATGATGTGCCACACGCAGGATGGCTTCTCGGAGGTCGGCCACCAGTTCTGTCTGCTTTATATTCTTGGCCTTGAGGGCCTCCAGGTCATCCTCCCCTAGGGGCACAGAGAAGCTACCTAGCTGGCCCTGCCCAGCCCCAGAGCTGGGAGGGCAGCTGTGCCCGGCACTTACCAAAGAGCAGGGAGGAGATGGTGGACTTCCTCCGCTGCGTCCGGCGCCGGACCACCTGCAGCAGGGACAGTAGCTCAGCAGGCCCCTACTCGTGTCTCTAAGTGCCCTCTGCCCACAGAATGTGGGCCAGGCCCTCCCACTGGCTGCAAGGGACTCTGGGTATGGGGCACATGGAGGCACAGTACAGGCCAGGGCCCAACGCCTCCATAGCCCACTCCCTCCGACACCCATGTTCAATGCACCTGAGAAAGGGTGGTAGTGGCACTGGTCCCCAGAAGCTGGCCCTGGTCTGCAATGAGGTAAGCAAGGTGCTTGCGGCGCTGGGTCTCCACAGCTACATCCGAGAGGGAGCCAGCCAGCTGCATGGCCGCCCCCAGCAGCAGCTCTGCATCTTCAATCTGTGTCGGGATGTCTGACAGCGTGTTGAAGATGGATGCCGAGTTCTCAGACTGGATCAGCTCCTCCTCCTGGGTGGTGAGGGAGCGCATATCATCCTCGGATGCCAGTGCCCTCTACTCTGGGAGACACCCCACCCCACATGCATGGTCCACACAGTGGGGATCCTGCAAGTACCTTGAGACACAGCATGCCCAGGGCCATCTGGAACAACACCAGGGAGCCCTCGTAGAAAAACAGGTCCCAGATGCGCAACAGCAGCTTGATATGCACAACGCTGGCGAACGCCGTGAGGAACCAGTGCAGTGTGATCAGGGACAGCTCTGTGGACAGGCATGGGAGTCACTGGGGCTGGGGCTTGGGCTCAGGCAGTTGGCCAGAGCCAGCGTGGGCAGAACAGGGGACACCTCCCCAAGAGCAGTGGAATGGGAGGATGAGAAGGGTTGGAAAGAGATCAGGAAGTCTAGGGAGCGAGAGTAACAGCAGGTACCATCATGCAGGGTCCAAGGATCTGGGTGCAGAGAAGGTGCTGTGGGCCTCACCGATGTCGTGCTCCTGCAGCAGCTTGTCCAAGCGAGGCAGGTACTGCACGATGAGGTGGCGCAGGACTCGCTGGTCAGTCTGGACACCCAGCAACGTGGTGCTGAAGTAGGAGGCAGGAAGCAGGTCCTCAATGATGGCACACATCATCCAGAAGGCATCTTCCTCCTCCAGGAACAGCAGGAGGCAGGCAGCTACCTGGCCAAGCAAGAGCACAAGGGGCTTCTACCCAAGTCTTGGTAAGTAAACCCAGTGCTGGGGGGCAACCAATCAGGAAGAACAGCTCGGGGACCCCAGAGAATCTTGGGTTCAACCTGACAGAAGCAGCAGCTGCCAAGCCCTCGTTGGGGACTCCCAAGGTCACCCCACCTCCCATCCTCCACTCAGGAGGGAAGAATCATAAGGCACCACGGAGGAACCCCCCGGGTATGCTGGGCCGGCTCTCACCATGCCCGTGCCCTGGCAGTAGCCGATCTCCGGATAAAGCCAGGCTAGTGCCCGGAGGACTCTACGCAGTCGAGGCACGCCGATGCTGTTCACAGTGGCGAAGCAGGCATTGCTGGGCATGGTGCGGAGCAAGTCCTTCTCGATCTTTGGGAGCCAGGCCACCCCACAGGAAGGCCCCATGAGACTGGTGCCCGGGAGGGAGGCAAGCCCCAGAATAAAAGTTCCTTATGCTCCACATCAAGGGCCCCACCTCAGGATTCTGTCGGTCACTGGGAACCTCGTGCCTGGCCCACCGTGTCCGGCCCGAGGGCTGGACCTGCTGTAAGTCTACTGTTCCTCACTTAGACCATCTGTCCTGTCTCCCCACACACTGGGCCCTTTGGACAGTTCTCCCTGTGACTGACGAGGAACCAGACGAGCAAGTCTCCTCCACTAACATGCATGTGTGAGAGGGCTCCCGGGCCAGCCGAACAGACCAGCCAGAGGACACCTTCCTCCTGGGGGCCACACATGGTCTCTCCCGACCAGTCCCTCAGCTGCCCTGTGTCACCTGCTTGGCAGCGATGGTCTCGTCATTGGAGCTGTTCTTCACAGTCTCACGGTAGGAGAGCTCTGAGTTCTTCTTCTTCTGCAGAGCCCCAGAGAGCCGCATCCACAGCTAAGGAAAGAAGCCACATGTGCACTGTTTTTCTTGAGACCCTGGGCCCAGGCCAGGGCGCTCCAGACCACTGTGAGTCCCTGTGGCACCTCACCTGTGGCCTCATGCTGTGTGGGATGCCAGCCAGCACAAGGGAGCGCAGCTTCTCAGAGCGTGGCAGGGAGACAGCAATCTTGTCCCAGGTGAGGTCACCGACGTCATGGTTGTGGGTAAACTCCAGGTGGGCCTGCCACCGCAGCCTCTGTGGGGGGTCCTCCACCAGGGCCATGCCCAGAAGTGGGCCAGACCCGGGCTCAGCACCTGCTGCCATAGGAGAGCAATGTGAGGACAACAGGCCCCACACCATGTCCCCCTTAGACCCTGCAGCAGCCCAGGGCTCCCAACAGGTAGGCCAGGGGCTACCACAAAACCCAGCCCACAGGGCCACTTCGTGGGAACTCCACATGCTAAGCTCTCCCTCCGCAGACACCCAGGTTTCTGGAACACCACCTCTACTGTCCACCTCAGAGCCGCCTCCCCCAGACCCCACACTGAAGCCGCTGCAAACGCAGTGGGTCCTGCATCATACCACAGCCCCTCCTCTGGGTCGTGGCAAGGCCTTCACAGCAGTGACCCATCATCCACAACACTGGATCATGTCACTGCTCAGAACCCGCTTGTGACTGCTCTCAGACTCAAAACCAAAGTCCTTCCAGCCTCCCTCCACACCCACCCTCTCAGCCCTGTCAGTCACTGGGAACCTCATGCCTGGCCCACTGTATGCCAGGCCCGGCCCAAGGCGAATCTCCCCGCACTGCCCCGTCCTCATCTCCTACCACTGTTCTCTTGCTTCCTCCGTTTCAACATGGGGCTTCATCTGGTCTACTGCACTGTGCCTAGAACCATCTTCCTGGAGCTGTCTGCCCTCATAATGGGAGCTCTATGTCATCAAGAGCCAAGGCCCTGGGACACAGCCAGGAAAGGACCCTAACCCACTGGCTTCCTGAGGTACTGAACTTATGAAAATGCAGTGGCCTTGCAGTGCCCAGCAACCTGTGTATGCTTAGTCCACACAGCTGTCTTCCCACCGATCCATGCCCTCAGCCCCGGGTTTAGAAACAGTCACTTCAAGGACTTTCCAACAGAAAGGCACAAATCTTAAGTGCACTTTCTGACCAGCAACAGGAAAGAAACTAGATGTGAAATTGCTTCTGGGTGATGCTGGGTGCTGTGGACTCTACCAATCCATCCAGATCCAGTTCCTACCACCTTGGGAAGTTCCCTAGGTCCCTTTCAACCTCTACATTTCACTTCCACCTGCCAGGAGTCAGAAGAACATGGAAAGCCCATGTTAGAAGTAGAAATGTGAACAGCCTGAAGGCGAAGGTGAAAGTGACTGCTCCAGTCACAGCTGCGGCCCGAGGAGAGGGCACCCTGGTCTGGGCCCCGGCCCAGGCAGGGCCCACCTGCACTAAGATGGTTGGACATGCTGGACTGGAGGCCAGGTGCAGCTGGTAGCAAGTGTAGCTCGGGAACCTTCACCATCACAGGAAGTGCTCAGCATAATGTGCACGTGCAAGTGCTGCACACCAGACCTGCACACACAGGACCTAAGGGGAATACGCTAGTGTGTCAGCAGTAGGGCTGGGGTTAATTTTGTTTCAGTCTTTATCCTGCTAAAGTTCTGTATTTTTCTACTTCTCTCCAGTGAATATTATTGCTTTTATTATCAGATAAAAATTAATATAATTTAATCTCACAACAATCAGAGGGTGCACACATAATCTCAGCACATGGAGGCGAAGGCAGGAATGAGTTCCAGGTCAGCCTGAGCTACAAAGTGAATTTAAGGCCAGCCTGAAGTGCATAGCAAGACTTCACCTCAAAAAAACAAAAATACAGGGAAGTAACTCAGCAGCACAGCACCTGCCTGGCTAGCACAAGGCCCTGAGTTCAATTCCCAACACCAAAAAAAAAAAAAAAAAGAGGCCACAGATGGACACAGAAGTACACAACTGAAAGACCAGCACTCTGAGGAGCGGAGACAGGAAGGCCACAAATTCGAGCCCAGCCTGGGCAGCTTAGCAAGACTATCTCAAAAATTTTGAAGGCTGGGCAGGGTGAGGATGGGGGTTAGGAAGAGCCCTGGGTGCAACCCCTCATACCACACACCACAAAAGGCCCCACCAAGGTTTTCACATACTATGCTTACGACAGCATAATGCACCCAGTAGGCTTTTGTCCTGAGGGCTGGAGCAGTGAGAGTCGGGACTGGACAGGCCACGTGTGGAGTTCAGTCACAGAAGTGGGAGTTCTTAAGGATATCAGCAAGACGTCACGAGGCTCAATCTTACCTTCCTTGTCCACACGGAAGCCAAACTCATCATAGCAGAACTCGGATTGCTCTGCCAACTCTTCCTTCTAGAAACAGGGTAGAAGAAAGGCGTCTGTGCCCCAGCCTGGGGCACAGTTTCTAAATGCTGCTGCCCCATCATGGCTAACTGCTAAAATTCCACCCAGACCAAAGGCCACCTTTTCATAAAGCCTGCCTTGGCCATTGTCCCAGTACAGGGTGACCACAACCTCTGAACTTTCTTGTCCCTTTCCTTGTTTTTTTTCAGAGTTTAAAGACTGTTAATATCAAGTCAAAAAGCCATGTTGTATCTTAGTGTCCCCACAGTACTCTTCCTCCCAGTCGCTGACTCACAGGCTCATGAAGCTACGATGCCACCTCTGCTGGGGAACACAGTGGAGGTGGCCGCCCCGCCCTGATGACCTGTCAAGGGCCCCTCCACCCCACCGCACAGAAGCCCGCAGGCTGTGCCTGCTGCACCAACGCCATACCTGAGCAGACTTGGCCAGGATCTCCTGGGGCCATATGCTTGGAGTCAGCGCTGAGAAGGGGCCACTGACAGAATGTATGTGGTCTCCTATGACCAAAGAAAGGAGAACGATCAAGAACACGCAGAGGCAAAATTCAAGGCAAGCCCCGCCCTCCTGCAGTTGTGCACAGGAGGGCAGAAGAATGGGACGGAAGGAAATGCCTAGAAAGGAGCACACTTCTGCAGCAAGAGGGGCGGCAGGTTACAGAACCTCATCAGACTCAGTCTGCTGGCCACCTCCTCTGCTGCCTCGTAAGAGGTGACGATATGGGCAGTGTGGAGACCTGAACAGTGTCTCGGTGACCGTGCCTGACCTGGGATCAGCACGCTTTCCCTCTGTTTGGGTGCTGGGCATGGCAACAAGCCTGTTCCCCACCAACGTCGTGCTTCACCTGACATGGTACTGAGCTGCCCACAGGTCCTGCAGAGCCAGGCTTAGATCGTTACTATCCCGACCTCCGGCAGCTGGAAAGCACCCCAGGCTTCATCTGCACCACAAACATCTGCCTGTGAGGACAGCAAAAGACAACATCATTGCACAGCTTGGTCCCAGAGGGCAAGGCTGTCATACTGCACTGCTTTGCTAGCCTAGCAGTTGACAGGGATGAGAGAGAGGAAAAATCAAGCTCTGCCCTCTTAAAATTGTACCATTTTTCTTTTTTCATTGTGGAGTCTTCCTAAGAGGATGGAAGGGATAGGGAGAAGAAATCTGAAAAACAACTCTTCACTGCTAATATTCTGTCAGGATGCCCTGGCCTCATCCCCTGCTTGCTAAGAAGCAGAACCAGACACAGACTTCCAAACAGTGTTCTTCAGGAGAAAAGGAGCCCAGCCCAGCCACCACCCATGCCTCGGGGACACGTTTTCCCTGAGCCACAATCTGTGCACTCACTCAGCACAGCTCTGCCTCTGGGAAGCACCTCCCCTGCCCTCCGCACCAGAAGTCTGCTTGACCATATTTTTTTTCCTTCTCCTTTTGTGAGAGGATCTTGCCTAGTTGCTCAGGCTTCACTTGAACTTCTGTGCTCAAGTGACCCTCCTGCCTCAGCCTCCTAAGTGCTCCTGTTACTTTTTCTCTAAGGTGCTGGTGACAGAACCCAGGGCCTTTGCAGTGAGCTAAATCCTCACCCTTACTTCTTATTTTAAGAGAGGGTATTGCTAAGTTACTAAATTGCCCAGACTGGGCCTGAATTTTCAATCCTGCCTCAGTTCCCCGGAGTGCTGGGGCTACAGGTGTGTACCGCCAAGCTCAGGTCTGAGCTAGAAGTTTTAAAAATCACCTGTTGCCATTCAATCCTCAACACATTTTGAAGTTCATATCTTTGTCCTTTGCAAGAGAAAATGAGCCTAGAAGAGACTATTACATGGCTCTGTGGCAGACCCCTGTGCTGTCACAGCACCATGCAGCCTCACAGGGCCACCAGCTGGACAAGGTCAGAAGGCGCCTTGTGTGGCTATCTTACCCTCTAATGCTGAGAGCCCTGGGACCACTTATTGTTGAGCAAGTGACCACCAGCAGTCTAGGGTAGAGTGGCTTTAGCGCTCACCTTCTGCAGGGACAAAAAGGGAAGAGGCCTCCAGTCAGACCTGGACTCCACTCCCACCCAGCACTTGCTGACTGCCGCTGGTCACAACCCTGGGCAAGTTCACATCACTTCTTTGAATCTCAATTTTCTTACCCAAAAATGAAATAACACCTCTGCTTTACCAAAATTATCAAACCGAGATAATATGGTTTGTGTCTAGTTGTTCCCCTAAAGCCTCATGCAAGTTATGGGGCAGATGCAGCTGGAGGAGCAGAGTGGCTTTAGGGGCGGGCCCGAGGGGTGCGGCCAGAGACGTGCAAACAGTTAAACTGGCTAGCCTGTGCTTGCTTGGAGATGTGGAGAGGGTCATCCTGGACACGGCAGCACCCCAGCCTCTCTGCCAGTGTCTTGAAACCTTCAGTAACTGTGAACTAAATAAACTTTTCCTTCCCTCATTTTCAGTGTCGGGTATTTGTCCCAGCAACAAGAAAAGAGTAACTAACACAGGGAGACTTAGGCAATTCATAGTCCTATGATGGCTAGAAAGTTACTGCCTGTTAGCATCTGGGCCTCTACATTGTGTACTGAAAGCTACTGCATTAAACCACAGGCAACTGCTCATATTCATCTGTCAAAACCTGTATCTGGCTCAACAGAACACATCCAAGTTGAGATCATGAGAAAGACCCCACATTACTGATGACGCTGACGGTGAGGATTTGCTTGTTGCTTCTAGAAGGACAGAGTAAAAACACCAAGGGAAAGAGGGTACCTGAAATGGAAGCAGGTAACTACATGCGGCCATGGGGGTGGGGCTGAAGGGGCTGGAAGACACTCTCAACATGCAGCTCCCTTGTCCTGACCTTGCAGCTCCCACTCAGGCAACACTCAGCAAACAATGACTGAGCGCTCTGGGAGCCAGGAATGGTTCTGAAGGCTGAGGTACAAGAGTAAAAAGAAGAGCAGGCTGGTACACTGTACAAAGAACCAACAGGAAGCAGAAAAACAGATGGTGGCCACTGCAATGGTAGGAGAGAAACAAGGCAAGAAAGAAGTATGGGGTGCACCGGAATAGAGCAGCTAAATATATCCATCACAAGAAGCCCTTTGAGGACAAGGTGACAACTACGCGCAGACCAAAGGAAGCAGGGATGGAGTTCCCAGCTTGTGGGGGAGGGCCAGGAGGAGGAACAGCAAGTACAGGGCCTTTTTAGAGCATGTGTGGCAGCTGGACATGGCAGCCAAGGGCCTGCAGGTTGCTGAGGCCTGAGGCTGTGGGGAAAGAGTGGAAGAGCAGGAGGCGCTATTCTTCACGGCCTACAAGGTTCAACCCTACACAGACATAAACACTCATGTCCTCCACAAGCTGCCCCTAATTCTCCCAACAGAGGCCACATATGATATTGCTAAGCTGGGCAGGCAGGTTTTTCCTGCCTCTGGTTGCTACAGAAACCTTTAGGAATGCAGCCAGGAAGTTGGCAGAAATAGTCAGAGCTATCTGCCACATCATCATAGCTGGCCTCCTGTTGTTACAGGGGTGAGGCAAAAACTTCAGAAAGCTAGGACTAAGGCAGGCACTTTTGAGGTGTGCAGAAGGAAATTTTAAGAAATGGACATGGGGGCCCTGGGAGATAGCTTGGCAGTCTAAGTGCCTGCCTGGCAAGCTCAAGGACCTGGGTTCAATCCCTAGTACCACATCCTGTGCCAGCCATCAAAACCGTGTGTGGTGGGGAGGCTGAGACAGTAAGATCACTGAGTCCAAGCTTCATAATGAGACCCTATACCAAATAAATAAAAGATGTTTATAAAAATTAAGGAAACGAGGGCCAGGAGATGGCTCAGTGGAATAAGCACTTCCCTGGCAAGCGCAAGGGCCTGAGTTCAATCCCCGGTTCTGCCCTCGCAAAGAAAAATTAAAGAAAAAGAAAGAAAGAAAGGGAGGGAGGGAGGGAGGGAGATGCTTAGGGCCAGCCTGATAGCTCAGCAGACTAAAGCGCCTGCTTAAGCAGAGCACAGCGGCAGGGTTCAATCCCTAGCATGCCGTGCCAGCCCCGCCCACAGGGCAAGCTGAGACTGGGCCTGGTGGTGTGAGCCTGTAATCTCAGTGCTTGGGAGGCTGAAAACAGGAGAATCACTATGAGTCCGATATATGCAGTGAGACTCTGAAGACCCTGTCCTAAATACAGAAAAAAGAAAGAACAAAGAAATGGACATGCTTAAAGGTGCCAGTCCTCCAGTACGTTCCTATTTGCCAATCCTGCCATTTCTGCTAACAGTGTGCTCACAATACAAAGGTTGGATTATCAGTATAAACTCACAGGTATGCTTGCAAGTACACAGGAGGAGAAAGGTCCTGTCCATTTCCTGTAATCTCGTGTGGTCAGGATAGGACCCTGCATACTCCCTTATTTTCCTGAGATAGGTTCTGCTAGGTAGCTCAAGATGGCCTTGAACTTGCAATACTACCTCAGCCTCCCAAGTGCTGGAGGCACAAGCAAATGCCACCACACCTGGCTTCTTGCTGCCTGCCTGACCTAAAGCCCTGGCTCCTGTGCTCTCTTAGGGTTTCACAGGAATCTGGCAGGAAACATAAAGGCCTTCATAAGCAGCGCAAGACAGCTGCTGCGATCCTAAAGACACTTCTCTGTGAGTAGATGGGGACAGTGAACTCTACTGAGAGGAGAGAGGATCCCAGAGCTAGGAGCTGAGAAAGGCTGATGTCAGAGATCAGTGCGCTGCTACAGGTGCTAAATATTAAATCACACAATACATCCTTAAATGGAATCTGAGACTTTAAAAAAAAGTTGAAAAAGTATGAAAGTACTTTCTTTTCAAAGTGAAGGTACAAAACTGTGGTCTCTCTTCCTGGCTTTTCTCCTTGGCTTCTAGCCCGCATCACACCTATACACTTCTGTGCCTCGTTCACACTCTGAGGTGTTCCAGGGCAGTCAGACCCCTGCCAATTTCCCCAGCCGCCTTCCCCTGGACTCTGTCCTCCCAGCTGCTTCTTACTGCCCACAGGGCAAATGAATCCCACCACCTGCTGTGCACCTGTTGCAGTCCCACCAGCACTCCGGGGATAGGGCCGTTCTCTGACAAAACAAGATCTGACGTGGTCAGTCCGTCCACTCTACAAGCCTCCCTCACCAGCCACAGCCACCCTTCTCTTCCACCCACTCCCAATGTGCTGCACTCACTACTTCTAATTCTTTTGGTCCCATCTGCCAGACTCATCATACTAAGATTCTATCCAAATGAGAGCTTATCATAGACACCACAGGTGGCCAGCCTCTGAGATGGCTCCAAGTACCCTACATCTAATATTGATATCCACATCCTAGCACAAACCCACTCTACCCTGAAATGCAGCTAACAGGTGTGGCCAAAACACTGTGGCTGCTCTGACTGTATATGGTATGTGGTACTGTGGCTTCCCCGTGGGCTCATCTACCACTTGCTCTGGAACAAGTCAGGAACCCAAGGAGCCCCAGAAGTAGGCACTGACTTTTGCCCACCACAGCAGTGAGCCAGCTTGGAAGTGACCCTGCGGATGACTCCAGCCAGGGCCAGCATCTGACTGTAACAACATGAGCTCACCACCCCTCTCCATGAAGCAGGATCTTCTAAAGACCTGACCCAGCCCACAGAAACCATGAAGGAACAAATGGCTGTTGTGGGGGTTTGTGTTAGTACTATAGACTGATCCCAGGACTTTTGCTTTTTTGTGGTACCAGGGCTCAAACTAGGGACCTTGCGCTTGCCAGGCAGGTGCTTATGCTGCCAAGCTCTCTCCCAGCAGGACTTTTGCACTAAATTACACCCCCAACTCTTTAGAAAGCAAAGAAAAACTTTAGGTCCCAAGTTCGATCCCTGATACCAATAATAGGGGCTGGGGAGATGGCTCAGTGGAATAAGCGCTTCCCTGGCAAGCACAAGGGCCTGAGTTCAATCCCCGGTTCCGCAAAAAAAAAAAAAAAAT